TGGAGGGGGAAGACCAGAGCCTTTCTTCCGCCTGCTCCTCCGAGCTGCTGCTGCCCCTCGGAAGCCACACCGGCCTCTTTCTTTCTTTCTTTCCTTCCTTCTTTCTTCGTTCATTTACCTTTGCGGCTGGCCGAGACCATGTCCACATGGAAAGGACAGAGCCATTAAAAACTATCTAATGGCCGGGCATAATCCCAGCACTTTGGGAGGCTGAGGCAGGTGGATCACCCCAGGTCAGGCGTTCAAGACCAGCCTGCCCAACATGGCAAAAACCCATTTCTACTAAAAATACAAAAATTAGCCGGCTATGGTGGCAGGCGCCTGTAATCCCAGCTACTTTGGAGGCTGAGGCAGGAGAATCACTTGAACCCAGAAGGCAGAGGTTGCAGTGAGCCAAGATTGTGGCACTGCACTCCCGCCTGGGGGATAGAGCAAGACTCTCTCTCCAAAACAAACAAACAAACAAAAACCATCTAACGGTCCATACCCCATATTACACAGGGGAAAAACAGAGGAGCTGAGCCACCTGCCTTAGCCACACAGCAAGAAAGTGGCACGGCTGGGACCCAAACCCAGTTCTCCAGGCCCTGTGCCACCCACCCTTCTCGGGCTCCTTGGAAGCCTAATATGGAGACTACAGGGTGCTCCAAAAGTTGAGCTGGCCTGAATGTGAATCCTGGTTCACTACCTGGGTAGCAGGGGAGTTTATCTATCTTAACCTCAGTTTTCTTATCTGTAAATTGGGACGAAAAACACACCCTGCCGGGCTGTTCTGAAGATAAAATTATATCACATATTAGGTACCTGCTCAAGACCCAACACAGAGTGGGTGCTTCACAAATATCCTCCCTCTTCTCCTGGGTCTTCAGTAAGCTCTCACCATCCTCACCAGCCTGGCCAACATAGTGAAACCCCGTCTCTACTAAAAGTACAAAAATTAGCCAGGCATGGGGGTGCACGCCTGTAATCCCAGCTACTCGGGAGGCTGAGGCAGGAGAATCACTTGAACCCAGGAGGTAGAGGTTGCAGTGAGCCAAGATCACGCCATTGCACTCCAGCCTGGGCTACAGGGGGAGACTGTCTCAATCCTCATGTGCTTGTAAAAATGAGAATAAGGTAGCTTTTTAGTCATGCATGTCTGTGCACGCATGAGTGTGGATGTGGGTGTGTTTGGGCTGGGGAATCAGGTTAGGGATACAGCCTGTTGTCTTAGCAATAATTTACAAGGAGAGAACATCTCCCTGAGGTCTGGGGAGGGAGACCAAGAGAAGGAGGGTGCTGACACTGCAGAGTAGCACAGCTGCTCCAGACCCCCATCCTCCCACCCCTGCTTCCCTATATGTAGCTCGGTTTTGCCCCAAGAGCTCTGCCCTTCTTCAAGTCCCCCCAAATAACCCACTCACCCATTTGTGAGCAGTATAGACTTTACTGCAGATCCATGGAGCAGGGATGCAGAAGAAGGGTTTTTACGTCACACACACATCTCAGCAAACTGCCTAAAATCCCCTTTTAACACATGTAATCCCAGAATTTTGGGAGGCCAAAATGGGAAGATCACTTGAGGTCAGGTGTTTAAGACCAGCCTGGCCAACATGGCAAAACCCTGTCTTACAAAAAATACAAAAATTAGCTGAGTGTGATAGTCCACACCTGTAGTCCCAGCTACTTGGGAGGCTGAGGCAGGAGAATCGTTTGAACCCGGGAGGTAGAGGCTGCAGTGAGCCGAGATCACACTACTACACTCCAGCCTAGGCAACAGAGCAAGACTGTCTCAAAAAATACAAATAAAAATACATTTAAAAAAAGAAAAAGAAAAATCCCAATATAGAGAAATTCTCTTCTCACAGATCCTTCTTGAACACACTGCCACCCAAAGGGGTGGAGATGAGGATGGGGAGAAGAGGAAGCTCCACTCCTGACACCTTCCCCTCCAAAACCAACCTCTCTGACCAATCCCTGGGGCTGGCCAAAGGGCCCTGTGATTATCAGGACTCAACTTCCTTAGAAACCACTTAAGCAACATTTAAAGAAGACGTCTTTGGCAGGGTGCAGTGGCTCATGCCTGTAATCCCAGCACTTTGGGAGCCCAAGGTGGACGGATCATAAGGTCAGGAGTTTGAGACCAGCCTGGCCAACATAGTGAAACCCCATCTCTACTAAAAGTACAAAAATTAGCCAGGCATGGTGCCACATGCCTATAATCCCAGCTACTCGGGAGGCTGAGGAAGGAGAATCACTTGAACCTGGGAGGCAGAGGTAGTAGTCAGCCAAGAGCACGCCACTGCACTCCACCCTGGGCTATAGGGGGAGACTCCATCTCAAAAAATAAAAATAATCATAAAGAAGACATGTGTTCCCTCACCCCTGCCTGAGGCCAGCTCTGCCTCCTGCCTGGCGTACGGCTCCCAGGACGCTAGCTGGGTCCTGAGGTCACTCACTGCCTATTCGAATTTGGATAGAAAAACAATTTTTACTTTGCAAAGACATATTATGAAGGGCTCCCCAACATCTCTGGGTCCTCATTCAGGGGCTGCTCCCCAACAAACACACGAAGCCCAGGCTCTGCCCTTAGCCTCCTGCACCCCTTTTCCCCCACGCATCCCCACTACAGAAGCGCCGACCCTCACCTTCCGTCTGTTTCTCCCTTTTCATTACAATATTCTCTGCTTTCTCTGGTCCTGTTTGTCAGTCCTCATCCGGAAGAGTTTCTCTTTAGTTTCTGTTTTTGTTTGTGTTTTTGACATGGAATTTCGCTTTTGTCGCCCAGGCTGGAGTGAAGTGGCGTGATCTCAGCTCACTGCAACTTCTGCCTTCCAGGTTTAGGCAATTCTCCTGCCTCAGCCTCTTGAGTAGCTGGAATTATAGGCACCTGCTACCACGCCCAGCTGGTTTTTGTATTTTTAGTAGAGACGGGGTTTCAGCATGTTGGTCAGGCTGATCTCAAACTCCTGACTTCGGGTGATATGCCCACCTTGGCCTCCCAGAGTGCTGGGATTACAGGTGTGAGCCACTGTGCTCAGCCTATTTTGTTTTCTTTGCAATGTGCCTGCTCCTTCCTTCTGCATCACCACCCACATTTATTCACTTAATGAGCTTCTACTGACAGCCTACTGTGTCACTGGACAGAGAGGGTAAAGAGAAGAAACGTTCTCTTTGTAAAACCACAATCCTTGCCTCATGACCTATGGTTCTTGGTGGAAGCATACATACACACAAATATTTATTACAATATCATGCACTGAATATTTATTATAGGCCCCAGAAACTTAACTGACTGCATTGCCTGAATCAACCTATTTAATCCTCACCACAATCTTAGGAGGCTGGCATTATTACCATTCCTGCTTTACAGATGAGGAAACTGAGGCATACAAAGGTGAATTACTTTTCCCAAACTTGCACAGCTACTAAATGCTGCAGCCAGACTCAAACCCAACCCATGTGTTTCCACCTAACCACTATGCCACACTGCCTCTCAACACACCCAAGGCCCTGAAGTGCAGACAAGGGAGCTCATAACTTTGCCTAAGGAAGTCAGGGAAGGAGCCGGGCACGGTGGCTCCAGCCTGTAATCCCAGCACTTTGGGAGGCTGAGGCAGGTGAATCACAAGGTCAAGAGTTCAAGACCAGCCTGACCAATATGATGAAACCCCGTCTCTGCTAAAAATACAAAAATTACCCAGGTGTGGTGGCCCAAGCTTATAGTCCCAGCTACTCGGGAGGCTGAGGCAGGAGAATGACTTGAGCCCGGGAGGGAGAGGTTGTGGTGAGCCGAGATCACGCCACTGCACTCCAGCCTGGGTGACACAAAGCCCGGGCTCTGCCCTTAGCCACCTGCACCCCTTAGCCACCTGCACCCAGCCTGGGTGACAGAGTGAGACTCCATCTCAAAAAATAAAAAAAGGAAGTCAGGGAAGGCTTTACAGAAGAGGGGACTTCTAGCTGGGTTTTGAGGGATGAAGAAGAGTTTGCTGAGTGAAGAATACAAAAGATATTCCAGGCCGGGCACGGTGGCTCAAGCCTGTAATCCCAGCACTTTGGGAGGCCGAGGCGGGTGGATCACGAGGTCAAGAGATCGAGACCGTCCTGGTCAATATGGTGAAACCCCGTCTCTACTAAAAATACAAAAAAAAGTAGCTGGGCATGGTGGCGTGTGCCTGTAATCCCAGCTACTTGGGAGGCTGAGGCAGGAGAATTGCCTGAACCCAGGAGGAGGAGGTTGCGGTGAGCTGAGATCACGCCATTGCACTCCAGCCTGGGTAACAAGAGCGAAACTCCGTCTCAAAAAAAAGATATTCCAGTAAGAACCTCTGTATTTCAAAAGTCAGCAGCAGGGGGCCGGGCGCAGTGGCTCACGCCTATAATCCCAGCACTTTGGGAGGCCAAGGCGGGTGGATCACGAGGTCAAGAGATTGAGACCATCCTGGTCAACATGGTGAAACTCCATCTCTACTAAAAATACAAAAATTAGCTGGGCGTGGTGGCGCGCGCCTGTAGTCCCATCTACCTGGGAGGCTGAGGCAGGAGAATTGTTTGAACCCAGGAGGCAGACGTTGCAGTGAGTGAGCCGAGATTGCACCATTGCACTCCAGCCTGGGTAACAAGAGCGAAACTGACTCAAAAAAAAAAAAAAAAAAAAAAAAAAAGTCAGCAGCATGAAATGACATGTCCTGAGAAGTTGACTGTGGTGGGACGAGACAACATGGGGACTGGGAGCTGTGGGGCTGGACATGGGCAGAGGCCAAGTCACACAGGGCCCTGTGTGCCTGATAGCCTGCTGGAGTTTGGCCCTGGAGGCAGCGGGGAGCCCCTGCAGGGCTGTGAGCTGGGCAGTGGCTTGCTCGCTGTCTCTCCCTCCCTAGGATTGCAAAGCAACCTCTCCCCTGAGGCTGTGTCCATAAACCCCAACTCCTCGGGGCTGCTCTCCCACCTGCCTCAGTGTGTGCCTCAGTCTCATAGCCATGCCGTTCTCTTTCTCCCTGACCCTCCGTGTTCCACAGGGGCCGTGAGGGCCTCAAGCATTTTCCCGATCCTGAGTGTGATTCTGCTTTTCATGGGTGGCCTCTGCATCGCAGCCAGCGAGTTCTACAAAACTCGACACAACATCATCCTGAGTGCCGGCATCTTCTTCGTATCTGCAGGTAACAGCCACGGAGTGGAGTGGGCTGGAGTCCTGGCCTGCCACTGGGAAGAAGGCTGGGGCTGGGTGCCCAGGGGCCAGAAGGGCCTGGCAGAGAGAGAAAAGGAGAGAGGAATCTCCAGGCCTTACACCAGGTCGTGTTGCAGGGGAGGAAGGGTGTGCTGGGGGCTTCTGCCCTGTAGCCACGCCTCAGCCTCCACCAAATCCTCCAGGAACATCCCCATACCCATCCTTTGGCCCGGTAGCCCATCTTCTTCCCACCACTTGAAAGAGGAAGCCCAAATCCCCACTTCCCCTCAGCGTATCTGGCCAATCCCCACTGGCCCTCTCCACTCCCGGTGCAAGTAAACCCATGAGGAGGCTGGAGAGAGGGCACCCAAGTGCCCTCAAACCCCTATGGGATGCTCAGCTCCACCCTGGAAACCAAGGGAGGACTCTCCTCTCACTGTCTACCCAGGTGGGACCAGGCAGGCACCCACATCCAGATGCCTGGGCCCAGTTACATGACATGACAGATGAGTCACACTCGCTTCAGATGCCAGAAAAAGAACCTGGGTATAGCCTGAGCCATTTAATAAGAATGACCAACATCAGGCCAGGCGCAGTGGCTCATGCCTGCAATCCCAGCACTTTGGGAGACTGAGACAGGAGGATCGCTTGAGCTCAGGAGTTCAAGACCAGCCTGGGCAACATAGCAAGACCTCAAGACCTCATCTCTACAAAAATGTGTTCTTTTAATCAGCTTGGCGTGATGATGTAACCATAATCCCAGCTACTAGAGAGCCTAAGGTGGGAGGAGGATCGCTTGATCCCAGGAGTTTGAGACTGCAGTGAGCTATGATTGCACCACTGCACTCCAGCCTGGGTGACAGCGAGACTCTATCTTAAAAAAAAAAAAAAAAAAAAAAAAAGACCAACATCTAAGAGTTGTGATATACTAAGTACTATGTACTAAGTACTAAGAGTACTCACTTAGTATTAGATATACTCTAATACAAAGAGTATTCACCCTTTTAACCCTCTCCGTGGCCTTAAAGAGTAAGGCCTATCCTTACCCCATTCTACAGATCTGGAAACTCAGACTAAGGTTAATTTGCCAAGGCTTTAAACCCTGGCTCCAGGAACCCGTCTTCATCCACTGCTACACCAGCTTTGAAGCCCTGTGCAGCCTTAAGCAAGTTCTTTAACCTCTCTGTGCTGGTTTCCTTATCTGTGCCCTGCTTGGGAAGCACCAAGCAGTGAAAGCAGGTAGTAAAGGCTCAATGAACAATATCTATTATTAGTTACTCAGCGCCTTGCGGAAGGAATGCCTCTCTTCGCCGGCTCTGCCGGTGTGTTTCCATTAGCACTTCCCTTGTGGCTCTCTCTGAATGGAAAGATAACATGTTAAGAGGAAGCTTGCCAATGTCCCTCCACACCGGCCCACCTGTTCATGCAGCGAGGGACGGGGGAAGGCCCACACAGCTGTCCCCGTGCTTTGAGGCTGCCCATGGCCGACTTCTTCCTGAGAAACTAACCTTCTTCTCTCCGATCCCCCATCCCTCCGCCACCCTGCGTCCCGCAGGTCTGAGTAACATTATTGGCATCATAGTGTACATATCTGCCAATGCCGGAGACCCCTCCAAGAGCGACTCCAAAAAGAATAGTTACTCCTACGGCTGGTCCTTCTACTTCGGGGCCCTGTCCTTCATCATCGCCGAGATGGTCGGGGTGCTGGCCGTGCACATGTTTATCGACCGGCACAAACAGCTCCGGGCCACGGCCCGCGCCACGGACTACCTCCAGGCCTCTGCCATCACCCGCATCCCCAGCTACCGCTACCGCTACCAGCGCCGCAGCCGCTCCAGCTCGCGCTCCACGGAGCCCTCACACTCCAGGGACGCCTCCCCCGTGGGCATCAAGGGCTTCAACACCCTGCCGTCCACGGAGATCTCCATGTACACGCTCAGCAGGGACCCCCTGAAGGCCGCCACCACGCCCACCGCCACCTACAACTCCGACAGGGATAACAGCTTCCTCCAGGTTCACAACTGTATCCAGAAGGAGAACAAGGACTCTCTCCACTCCAACACAGCCAACCGCCGGACCACCCCCGTATGAAGACCGCGGGCCTCGCCAGCGCCGGGGCGGAGCCGGGAGGAGGGCGCGGCCCCCGGGGGCGGGGCGGGGCGGGGCGGGGCGGGGCAGCGGGACCCAGACCATCCGCGGGGAGACCTTCCAAAAGCAAAAACAAAAAACAAAAAAAACAAACAAAAAAAAGAAAAAAAAAAAAGAGAAAAACATAACAAGTAAATTTAAAAAAAAAGAACAAAATATAAGAGGAACAAAGAAGCAAAACAACAGGAAATGTGAGAAAATATAAACGAGGGAAGAAACACAAACTTTAAAAAAAAGCGAGAGGGATAAAAATTAAAAATAGAAAATAAATCTAAAAGAAAATGCATGATTTCCCATGTACCATTATTTTAACATTTAATAAAAACCAATTTAAATGAAAAAAATAAAAGAGAACCAAGATAACATTAAAGCAAAAAAAAAAAAAAAAAAAAAAAAGAACAGAAAGGAAAGAGGATGTCCTTTGTATTTTTCAGGGTTTATGTGACTTTTTTTTTTTTTTAACGCGGGGAGAGTTACTTTTCTGTTCCCTTTAACCCCCAGCGGGCCCTGCCTCCCTGGAAGAGTCGGGGCGAGACTCAGGGGCCCCGGGGCCAGGTGAGCCTGCAGTCACTGCCAGGTCCCTGGAGCCCCTGGGTGGGAGCCCCAGGAACGCCTGGAAGGCTCAGGGCTCGAGCAGGCCCCGCCCAGCATTGACGGGGCAATTGCAGGCCTCCAGGTGACCCAGCCCTTGTCCCTCCTCTCCGTTAGGGTGCCTGGAGGGGTGTGCACTTGGGGCTGCCTGACCCCGGGTTCCCAGTCCTTAATGGTCCTTAACCCACTGTGATGACTTCCTAGGCCTTGAGGAAAGGGAAGGAGAGGGGATGGCTGCCGGTGGCTTACCCAGACGCCAGAAACCCGGGAATCCTCAGGGTGAGCCTCTTGGGGTCATGTCCTTGGGGTCAGGAGACGCCCACCCCCCCGGGGGACATGAAACAGCTCTCCCTCCTCACCCCTCACCTCAGGGCCACCTAATGACCCTGGGGCAATGGTGGACCCCCAGACTCATAAGCCCCCCAGTCCCCTGGGAAGGGGGTTCATTGACCCTTTGGGGGTCCTGGGACTCACTGATGCCCTTTGGGGCCCAGCGGGTTCAACAATGATACTGCAAAAAGGTTTCTTTTTACAAAAGAAAAAGGAAAAACAAGTGGTGATTTTTTTTTAATAAAAAAACCACAGACTATAAATACATGTAAATATAAAGTAAGTGGATTTACTTGCAAGAAAATCAGATAGTATTTTTCTTTTAATTCTTTTCCAGCTTTAAACTGTGAAAACAAAAAACGGGGTGGGGTGGGGGACTTAAAATTTAGCAGGGAACTTGTAAAGAAAAAAAAACAAAACGAATATACAAATCCATTTACAGAAACAAAACAAAACCTTTGTGAGAGGTGAGAGCTGGGCTTGAAGGTCGGGAGTGGGGGAAGGTCCCAGCGAGCTGCAGGGGGTCTCTGTGAAAGAAAGGTGGCTTCCTGAGACCAGGAAGGTGCTGTGGATGGGGGAAGACAGAATCCAACAGAGAAGGCGACCACATGGCGCATGCGTGCGCACGCACGTTCCCACACACATACACAGTCCACTTAGCCCAGCACCGCAGTCACTCACAGGGACACACGCAGTCTAAGCCCCTCCATTCCATACACAGCCAGGGGCATGGCTCAGAGGAAACTGACTCATGCCCTCCAAAGCCATGGACAGTAACAGCTCCACACTGGCCTTTGTGTTCATTCATGCCCTCCCAACACCCCACACACATGAACATACACATGCACACAGACACATACATCACTCGCATGCATGGGAAGGGCACGCATCTAGAATCCAGCCCTGGATTCTGGAATTCCTTGCTGCATGGCCTCTCTGGGCCTTAATTTTCCCTCCTGTGTAAGCATGTGGATTGACCCAGATGAACACTAAAGGCCCATTCTTGCTCTATGTATCTGTGACTTAAGACCTGCCACCTGCCCTAGGGATATGCCAGGGATGACCAGGACAGCTGCCACCAAGCCCCCAGGCTCATCATCAGTCAGCCTCTCAAACACACACACACACACACACACACACACACACACACACGCCATATACCTCCTCACTGTGCTCCCCAAGCCCCTGCCCCCACATCCAATGTCAAAGCAAAAATACACACATGTGAGCAAACGGATGCTGCTGTTCAGGCAAAGAAGGGAAAGACATGGGGGTCCCCAGAGCCCTTCTTCACTTGGTGACCCCTTTCTGCCATCATAGAGCGTTAAGGAGGCTTCCTTGGAAGAAGAGATCTGCCCCCAGGGCTTTCCCACTGTCTCTGGGGTGGTGGGGGGTCTGTGAAAAAGAAGATCCTCCAGCGTTTGCTGGGATGGAGAGGAAGGTTTTAGCTGTTCCATCCCAGTGTAAGGACCAACCCCAGAAGTTAAACTTGCACTGTAGACGGAAGTCCAGGGCCTTCCTTCCCCAGAGTGACGAGGGCCAGTTTTCAGGCTGAGAGAAATCCAACAGCTTTCCTGAGCTGGAAATTTCAGAACAGCCTGCAAGTCACTCCCAGGTGACTGAAGCTCAAGGTGAGGCCCCTGCCTCTACCCGAGAGTCTCCCTCGATTTGCATATTTCTTGACACTGGCATTTCCTGACGTTGAGCTCTCTGGGGAGTTCTAGAGAATGGCTAGCAAGGCTTTCGAGCTTGAACGTCTCACCTGCCTTTCCCATCTTTTGCCTGGGAAAGGAAAGTTGTTTTCCCAGGTCAGCAGAGGGCGGAACATCAGCCAACCCAGCCCAGAAGTGCAGGGGGAGGCCCTGGGCCCTGGGGCAGAATGATGAGAGACAATTCAAGGTGGGCTAACCACAGCCAGGCTGTTCTCAGTCTGGGCAGAAACCCAACCCTACCCCTCTCCCACCCCAATCTCGCCCACTGCCCCACCAGATTCCATACCTAAAGGGATCAAGGATGAAAGAGAAAGGAGACGGGAGAGGCCCCAAGAAAACAGCCCCCAGGGGGGGCCTGTCCAAACAAAAAAACTAGCTCCAATCTTCTGAATTCCGGGAGAGTGTTTGGGAAGGTGATCAGTATGCTTCTTTTCCAGCTGCAAGGCCTGGGTTCTGGGTCTGCTTGAAGAAAGCCACTGGGGTGTGGGGTGACATTGTCATGGCTGAGAAAGGGCTGGGGGGTCCGGAGGGAAGGAGCCAGGACCGGGACTGCAAAGGCATTGCTTCCCAGAGTGGATGATTGCTCATGTCCAGCTCAGACCAGTTCAAGAAACTAACCTCCATTGATTTTCTTGGTGGGTCCTTTTTTTTTCAGACTGTTAACAGAAAAAAATTTTAAAAAGCAGAAAACTAAAAAAAAGAAAAAAAAGAAAAAAAAAGAAAATCCTGGTACATGAAATAAAGATTTTTTTTTATAGCTTGGTCCTCACTTCAGTGGATTTCTTTAATTGCTTTCCCAACTCCCGGCATCTATTTAAAGCAATCGAAAGCTACAGATTCTTAGGGATGGGAAGTTTAGATGCTATGCAGTAGGGTGTCCTCCCCACTCTGTAAATCATAAGTTCCCTATTAAATATCCTTTACAGATCCTTGCACGCCTCCAGTGACAGAGGGCTCACCCCCTCCAAAGATAGCACCAGCCAGTGCTAAGCAGCACTCTTTGGCAAAAGTCTTCTCTGCACACTGAATTTTAATCCACCTCTTCCTTCACACTCCAGCAACACTGAATAAATCCCTTCCCTTTTCAGCATGACAGCCCCTCAGATATTTGAAGACAGAGAGCATGACGTCCTTGAGTTTTCTCTTTTAGAATAAACCAGCCCCACTCAACATCCCAACCCCACTTCGGGGTTTCCATTTCCCTCCATGAACGTGTGCAGTTTGGAATGCACACGGCCCTGCCGGTTCACTCAGAGGACTTCCTGCAGAGGGGTGCTCCTCAGAGAGAGGGGGAGCCATGGAGTGGCAAAAGAATGGGAAGGGCCTCTGGGACTCTCTTAACTTGAAGAGATGAGAAAGACAAGATGAGATGCTAATGGGAGGATGTGACCCTTGACATCGGAGAAAGGTCCCATTGGAAGGATGACCAGTCATGGCTGCAAAACAGCTAAGATAGCAGCACTATCTAAGATTCAGGGGCAAGCATGGTCACTGTACAACCTTTCCGGGGCTCAAGAGAAAGGAGATGGCACGCAGATGACACCCGCACACCGCACAGACTTAAGACAAGGTAAACCCTGTATCACATGACCCAGAAAAGTCTACTTTTTTTTTTTTTTTTAGAAGGTGCAAACGTTCAAAACTCCCTGTCTAACTCAGCCTCAGGCTGCTGGGGCCACACTGCCAAACCCACACCAATCTCAATTATCTCTCTCTCCAGGCTCAACCCTAACACTTGTGGGGTCCAGGGCAAGAGTAGAAAGGGAAGCTCACTCTTCATAACCTAAGTCTGAAGATTTAACAGCTAGCTGCACATCAACCTTAAAAATATGGTCTATTGGCCAGATGAAGTGGCTCATGCCTGTAATCCCAGCACTTTGGGAGGCTGAGGCAGGTGGATCCTGAGGTCAGGAGTTCAAGACCAGCCGGGCCAAGATAGTGAAAGCCTGTCTCTACTAAAAATACAAAAATTAGCCCAGTGTGGTGTTGGGTACCTGTAATGCCAGCTACTCAGGAGGCTGAGGGAGAGAATTGCTTGAACCCGGGAGGCACAGGTTTTAGTGAGCCGAGATCACACCACTGCACTCCAGCCTGGGCAACAGAGTGAGACTCCATCTCAAATATATAAATAAATATATATATATGTATATATATATATATATATATGGTCTATCCTCTGTCCTGGCAAATATGTCCTTGCGACAACCTAAAATGTTAGGTTTGAATTTAAAATTCTCAACCTCCTCTCCATTCTGCTCCTCAAAGTGGCAGCAGGGGGCAAGCCCACCCTGGAACCCTGGACTACCGCTCCCTGTTCACAACCCACCCCTCTTCCTTTCCCACTTCCAGCTCTACTCAGCACGTTCAGGGTATCTCCCACCAAGTGGGTGCACACCCCAGCCTGCACACCCAGCTGCTGCACACCCAGCCTGCACACCCCAAAACCACTGCTTGAGGCAGGAGGACATGGGTCCTC